CCACATGCGTGGGTTTCCTCCAGGTACTCATGATTTCTGGTGGGGAGAAGCAGAAGCCCTTAACTCGGGGGGTCACAGCTAACTGGTGGCGAATGTTAACTACTTCGCCTGGTATACAGGAGATCGTGTGTTCGATCCCGACCCTGATGCCTGCTGTGTATTTGGAGATTGCATGTCGCTCTCTACCCGTGGTCACGTGGATTTTTCTCCGCGTCCTCCGGTGTTTCTCTCCACGTTTATAAACACGCGTTTAGAGTATTTGGCTGCTATAAATTTACACGTGATAAACCACTTCGTTGAGCTGCCATGCGTGGCTATGTCGCTTCTGAAAAATAACTATTTATGCAGCTCAGTGGGCTTTACCTGGTAGCATAAAAACATGTTTAGACATATCACCTGTACTGCCTGACCAACATTGTAAATTCTGGTGAACGGACCCCCGTGCCTGACAGCGTGGATTGACAGAGGGCTACCAGAATCAAAATATTTATTCATACTGGAGGAATCCGATGAGCTATAAAGCTCCTTTTCACAGATATCCAGGAAAAAATCCATAACATCACCTCTCACGGGCAAATTACAATGCTGTCTTGGTAGGGCAACTGGCCAAACATCTCGCTTACATCACTCTCTTGAAGACGAGTTTTGAGACTCTTCTGAAGCATTCCACACGATTCTATGTATGTTTGTTGAACTTCTTTCGCACCCTACGTAGCCAATGGTGCTAATCATAGATCCCTGTTGTGTAAAGTCGGGCCCAACTCCTCTCCCATCTCAAGCTAAAATATCCGGACGTGACGCGACGAATTCCACATTTCTGTGGCGAGGGACGAGTTCATCCATCGTCCAAACAACGGACCGTCGACTTCCACCAATGTGGTACACGTTTTAACCAACCCCAGAGAGATGATGGGTTAAATGGCAAGGAGAGGGGCAGGGGCGGGGGGAGAGCTGACATGTATGCTGGCTGTATTTGACCCGGAGATGGCCTGGCTCTCGCGCGGATGACAGTGGTGTGCCCCGGGTTACACTTCCAGGACTGCGGGAGTCTAAATTTGTCTCATCGAGCAGTCTGACATTACGCATCGATGTATTCTGCAGCTGAGCACCGTGTGTGTGTGTGCGTGTGTCTGTAAAGTGCTGGCCACCCACTCTCTCATGAGCCGTGCCAGCCTTCATTAGGTGCTGCTCGCTAACAGCACTTGCCCCAACAGTCTGTTAAGGCTACACGGTGGGATTTGTCTCGTCTTTGTCGGTAAGGGGAGCGGCGGTGTAGTGGCTAACGCGCCGCGCTACGAACCCCGGCGAACACGTGTTCAATTCTCGCCCATCACCAATAAGGGGTGGCGAATATTCGAACCCCGTCCTGGTGACTCGCCGAGGTCGACTCAGCCTCACGCGCGTGCCTGCTGCAGAGTGTAAACCAAGGCCATAGCCGTGGAGTCAACATTGGGGGGGACAAAATCTTCCAGGGTGTCTGGGGGTCCCAACCCAGAAAAAAAAATCTACATTTGAAAACGAATTTTCTGCCTAAAATATAACAAAAAATTAACTAACACATGGGATGGACTTTTATTTTTATTTTTTACATTAATGTCTAATAGTGTGTTGTATTACATTGCTCTTTTTTTCTATTTTTACCATTTCTTGTTTTATTGTGTAATGGCAGAGATTAGGGATTAATAAAGTACAACCATAACCACAATTATATAAACAGAAATCTATGCATTGTTATATGAAGACAAGTCCAGATATTGTGGCCAAGGTTTAGCAAATTGTTGTTTTTACTTACATAGCATAGAAATTATTTTTTACAGCAATATATGGGGGGGGGGGGTACATTTTGAGCATATTTTAATATTGTAAACATCAGCATTGAGGAAACAAATGCGGCCGTTGCTAGGCACACCACCGCCTTCTTGTGCCATGTTGGTCTTCATGGGTGCTTTGCTAACAGCACTTGCCCCCAAAACGGTATATTCAAAGTCTATATGGGAGATCTTTGTTTTGTGTGTGTGTGCCCTGAATATCAAACGGCACTCGAATCCCCATCTCTCTCTCTCTCTCGTTATCGAGTTACGACCATTATTAATTCATGTCGCCGTTGTTTGTTAATTTCATGGGTGCACAAAACCAATTGTAGGAAGGCATGACCTAATAAAAAAAAATGTAACGTCTCTTATTTTGTAGCTACGGTACCGAGGCTCTTGTGTGTGTCCTGGTTTGTTTTTTCAGGCACACTCGCACCTCCGATTAGCACGGTTGGCTACGTATGGTGCGAAAGAAGTTCAACATCCATACATTCGCTCCAGCGGCATCGCTGCGGTACCATTGTATTGAGAGTGTAGTTGACACGGCTAAGATCTCGGATGGAACAAAAAAATAAGTACATTTGGCATTCGTGCCCTCATCGGAAGATGTATTTATACTGGAGGAGTCCCATGAGCTATAAAGCTCTTTTGCACAGATGCCCAGCAGGTCACGGATGTCAAGTAGACATCTGCGCAAAGGCTATCATCACAGCGCAAAGGCTAGCATCGCGAAGGGAGGCGATACGGTTCTGCTTTGCAAGCTTTACTATCTCGAGTCGACTTATGCAGACAGCGCCGTCCACAGCGGGGGGGGGGGGGGGGGGGGGGGGGGGGGGGTGGGGGGGGGGGGTTGATGGAGGCCCGGGAGAAATCCAAACGTGAGGGCCCCTCTCGACGCCTTCGAACTAAACCGGGAGTCAGTTTAACACCTTAGCAGTAAGGTGTTCGCGGCAAATATTATCCATAATAGAGGTTTTTAGGTTAGATTCCGCAGTACTCAAATTGTAAATGCTGCGGGTTTACTCTCCCAACACACCGGTGTGCTGAAGTAGTGACTACTTGGCACGTTGTGTTTACATGGAAAACCTTACTAATTGGCTGTGTCGCGTGGTGGCGGGTTAACGACACATTGAAGTGCCACGCCGCCCCCCAAAGCACGGGGCCCAGGGCGGTCGCCCCGATTCGCCGTACCCCTCGAGAACCGGTTGAGAGTTAGGGAGGAAATAGCGAACGGTGACCGGGTTTCCGCAACCATGCCTTAAACGACCGTGATTTAAGGTCGCCACGGTGGTCAGATGTTAACCACCTCGCCTGGTATGCAGGAGGTTGCAGGTTCGATCCCAACCCTGACACCTGCTGTATATTTGGAGTTTGCGTCTCTCTTTCCCCATGGTCGCATGAATTTTTCTCCGGGTTCTCTGTTTTTTTTTTCGCTCCACGTTTAGAAGCAACGTCACGCATTTCGAGTATTTGGCTGCTATCAATTTCCACTTGATAAGCCACTTCGTTGAGCCATCGTTTGTCATAGTCAGGTGGCTTCTGAAAAAGAGCTGTGTAGCTCAGTGGGCCATACCTGGTAAAGTAAAAAAATATAGTTTTATAGTTGATCATTTAAATATGAGCTGTGTGATTTTGTTTTTTGGGTTCGCGTCTTCTATTGAGAATTGCAAGCAGCCTCCGGCCCCCGATTCCCCCCCACCCACCGCCCCACATTAAATAAGGGATCACCACAGCAGAAGTGTAATGAGGTCACGCCGTGCGGCTTTCTTATGAAAACGTTGATGTAATTTGACCTCAAAAGGTGAATTCAGTTCAAGCCCCCCTTTGCTCATCATCCACTTAAGCCAAAAACAACAACAACAACAACAACAGCAAAAACTCCATGTACTCCAACAGGACCACAGATGGCATTAAAACGTGGACAAAGCCAACGCAAAATTGATATTTGTTTTAATCTTCGACGTGGTAATGCTGGGCTCAATTCGTGTTGAGCGAGGATAACGCTTGCGCAGCTGCGCTGCATGTCTCCCGCCTGCGGCGTCCTAAGCCCTTCTCCGATGTGAACTCAAATTCTATCCCCTGGAGGGGAAGCCTCCCCTGAGCATCGGGAGCGAAACGTCGGATATCGTGGCAGATCAAACGCGCGCCGCTGAACCTGGCAACACGCCGACAGAGAGTCGTGCAGTAGCTCGGCCCCCTCACCTCAAACAACAACAGGCCCTGTCTCATCTGACCGCAGTACTATACATATTTCATAATTACGAATTTCATCATCATCATCATCGTCATCACGATCCATGGGCAGATAGCCCCGTAAGTGTCCACTGCAGATTTCGTCGTCTGTTTTCCCCACTTTCCTCTCTGTCTTGTAGTGACAATAATCCTGAAGTGGTGGCCACATCTTATCGTCACCAATCTCTTCTTCTGTCGTCGTCATGTCATTGTCTGTCACGTCTTCCTCCGGTTCCTTCAATTTTCCCGAACACCACACTTTGAATTCTTCCGTTGTTGTTCATGCTACACGCGTGTGTCCATATAGTGCCAGTTTCCTTCTCATCATCACTGCCTGCATCACCATCAGGTTGTTCTCTTCTTTGCACAACCTTTTTTCCTACTTTCACGTTGGTCACTCTTTGGGTCCAGCTTCCAACGATGCCTGAAAGCTTCAACAACGTGGTGACGGCACAAGTGTCAAAAATCGTGCATATGAAGAAAAAAAAACGTGTTCCCTAATTATACACTCGATTCACCTCCGCGTTACGGTGAGGCCGATGGAACAGACGAAACTGCGAAAGAGGCAACAGAAACAAACCATCTACAAACGATACACAAACTAGATGGTAACAGACTGGTCCCATCGCTCCATTTCCACAGCGGTGGTCCCATCCAAGCGCGTTATCCCCATTTCCATCCGGCAGCCAATTCGCCGCACATTTCCCGTGGCTCGGGTCACCGTCCCTCCTAGCGGACGCGTCTTTGCCGCAAGCCAACTTACTTTCTCCTCGACACGAGCTTGACCTATTAAACTAAACCGTTTTTTTGTACTTATTTTTCCAGGTCAGGCCCACTGAGCCTACGTAGCTCTGTTTTTTTTTATTTTCAGAGACGACCTGACCATCACCAAACGAAAGATCAACGAAGTGGCTTATTGCGTGGCAATCTAAAGCAGTAGCCAAATAATCTGCGCGCGTGATGTTGGTTCTAAATGCGGAGGGGTGGGGGGGGAGAAAACGCAGGAGGACCCGGAGAAAAAAACCCCCAGGCGAACACAGGGAGAGTGTGCCGCCTTGCACTTGACTTCGGTTGTTCTCCGGCCTCCGCCGTCTCTCGGTGGTCATTTCACGTCCGAGGATTTCCCCTCCGCACACTTTTCAGCCCTCGTTTCAATCTCCTGCGGCGGCGGCGGCGGCGCGCGTCCGCAAACCATCGATCCGTAAATCATTGCCAAGCAGCTGCATGTTCGTAAATTGGCGCCGCATCGCTAAGCACGCAGTGCAATTGCCAAAGCAGTGTGTTTGATTTAGCGCGGCGTTTTTTGTTGTTTGTTTTTATTTTTTCGTTTTTAACTGCACGGCTGCAGTCGTTCCTCGGACGGCCGCGTGGCCGTAAAAGTTGTTAGCGAAAAATATCGAGGCGACCTTTTCAAAAACACGCATCCCCGGCGGTCTGATTCTGTGCGCCACGTTGGCAGTGATCGTAACACAAGTACGATGCCGTTTTCTCAACAGGTTGCACACACGCACGCGCACACTTGAACGTGAATTTCGATCGCCACGAAAGAACAATGATCAAAATCTAAGTATGCATTCACACTGGAAGAATTAGAGCTTTAAAGCTCTTTTACACAGATGTCAAGTCGGGCCAGGTCAAAACGTTCCACCAACGAATAATACAAAAACACGATAGGAGTGTAAATTATAGGCAAGGTAAACAAATCACTGAAAAAATATAGATAAATAAAACGAAACAATTTTTTTTATCACACCAGGCGAGGCCCACTGAACCATTAGCTTCTTTTTCATAAGCGAGCTGGTCACGAATGATAGCTCAACGAAGTGGCTTATCATGTAGAAATCCACAGCAGCAAAATCTAAATAATCATCGTCGTCCACCTTGATCAATCCACTGCTGGTTGAAGTCCTCCCCAAGCTATCAGCAAATACTCACGATCGTGCATTGCGGCACAATAACGCGATTTATTTATCCAGGAAAGCATCGCTGGGTCTCAAGACTCCTTTTTAAGAGGGTCCTGATACATCGGGATGTGTGGCTAGTTGGATTAAGGAGCGTTTTGTGATCGGGACTTGTAAGATAAAAGTCAAAATATTTTCTCTACGAGAAAAAAACTCGAAAAAAGCGTAGGGTTTACAAGGGATTGTGGGATTACAACGTCAATCACGCAGGATCAGCAAGCGACCTCGCAACGTGTCACGATGGGACCATGTGACAGTATTTGCGACAAGGTTTTTTTGGTGATATGCACAGGGCACATTTTTACTTATTGCAGGGCGCGTCGTAGTGGCGAAATGTTAACTCTCTCGCCTGGTGTGCAGGAGGCCGTGGGTTCGATCTAGACCCTGACCCCTGCTGTATAGTTGGAGTTTGCGGTGCCTCTCTCCCCGTGGTCTCGTGGATTTTTCTCCGGGTCCTCCGGGTTTTCCCTCCACATTTAGAGACATTTGTTTAGAGTATTTGACTGCTATACATTTTCACGTCATATGCCACTTTGTTGAGCCATCATACGTGGCCAGATCGCCTCTGGAAAATAACAGTATAGATCTGTGGGCCTTACCTGGTAAAATAAAAATAGTTTTTAAGAACAAAAAATCGCATTATGTTATGCCGATGATGCCTAACAAGGGTGAAACCTCTTAAGCAAAAAATAAAAACCGCAATTTAATTTGTATTGCACCTCGCGATGGGATGTGAAGAGCTCAAGGGTAACGGGGAGAGCCGGGGGAAAGTGCCCTCCCAACAGCCTCGAAGCATGGACTGCTGGATGAGGACGTTACCACACTCCCGTTTGGCCATACTTCACCACGTCAGTTAGTTGCGGGCTGGGGCTGGTGAAGGCAGGGATCATAGATGCGGGGGCATAGAAGCGCAGTACAACGAGCTTCTCCCCACTGGTGGGCACCGATCCAAGCACTATCCAAGCTGAATCCTGCTTACCTTTCAGGATCTAACGAGTTCGGTTGCATTTTGTGTGCTTTGGTTTCATGATACGAAACAGCTGCTTTGATCTTACAGAGCCATTCAGTGATGATAACAGGAAGCGATTGTCTTATGGAATCGCACGACGATTTGCGGGAGCCGTGCCCTTTCGTGCGTGTGACGGGAACGTGACCGGCAAAAGAACGCACTCGACATCCGCGCGTCTCTGTGTGCTGCGTGCGTGCGTGCTGCGTGCGTCCAGGGCGGGCGAGATGGCGTCTGACATGCGTCAGGAGCCGGTGCTCGTCCCGACGACCTCGGAGCTGTCAAACTGCCAGGACCCCCCCGCCCGCGCGCTAGCCACGAAGATCCCCGATCCCAGCCAGCCCGACGCGGTCAAACCGCCCGCCCACCGCGAACACCTCCACGCCGTGGCCACTGCCAACTCTTCAACCTCCTCCTCGTCGTCGTCGTCCTCCTCCTCCTCCTCCTCCACCTCGTCCTCCTCGTCTTCCTCGTGCGTGACAGCCTCTCCGACGTCCCCGTCGTCCAACTCGTCGGGATCGTGCGCGCAACGGGCGCCGGCGCCGGACGCGGCGAGGCAGCGAGGGGGAGCCGGGGAGATGGCGACCCCGGCGAGGGAGGTGGTCGCGGAGGTCAGGGAGGTCGAGGAGGTCGTGGGGGCGGGAGAGCCGTGCGAAGGGCAGAGGAAAAGCGCGGCCCAGCAGCCGCCTCGCTGCCACTCCGCGGCCAAAAACGGCTGCCTCGACTCCCCCTCTTCCCCGTTCTCCTCCTCTTCGACGGAGCCATCGCATCCGAGGGTCGGGCAGGTCCGGGCGGCGGAGGCGGTCGCCTTGGCAGCTCGCGGCGACGGAGCCGGGGAGTCGAGCCGAGGCGCCGAGGGGAGCGCGGCACGAGCCGCTGGCGTCGTTTCGGCGGCCCCGCCGGCACCGCGCGGCCTCCCCCAGGACGGGCAGGGCTGCCGGCCCAAGCGAGAGGCCTCCGGCCACGCGGAGGCGAGGGTGTTCGAGGCGGGATCACGCAACGAGCGCGGCGAGTTGCAGTTGAATCGCCCTGAGCAGCAGGCACAGCAGCAGCAACAACAACAACAACAACGACAGCCGCAGCAGCAGCAGCAGAAACTCCAGCCGCAGCAGCAAATTCAGCATCAGCAGCTTCAACAACAACAGCAGCAGCAGCAGCAGCTTGAGGAGTGCGCATCGAAGAGCAGGGAGGTCGGCACCATGACGTCCCCATGCCACACGCAGCAGCAGCAGCAGCGCGACGGCCGAGACGCAGGCAACGCAAGCGGCCCCCAGCCGCCGCTCCGTGGCCACGAGCCCAGGACCCCCCCCTCGGGGACGTCCCCGGTGCACGTCTACCCGGAGGTGAACCTGGGAGGCGGCGGCGGCGGCGGCGGCGGGAAGAAGAGCACCAAGGCGACGAGGGCGAGCAAGAAGTCGAGCGGCTCGGGCAACCGGGCGCGCAGCCCCACGGCGTCGTCGTCGGCGGCGGCGGCGGGCGACGAGGACGAGGGCAGCTCGGGCGACGAGGAGGAGGACAAGTCGCCGGTGCGCGAGGTGCGCTGGGACGACAAGGGCATGACGTGGGAGGTGTACGGAGCCTCCATGGACGTCGAGGTGCTGGGGCTCGCCATACAGAAGCACCTCGAGCAGCAGATAGAGCAGCACTCGCGCGAGCGCAGCACACGCAGCGACAGCACCGTGGCCGCCACGCAGCAGCCGCCCCAGCAGGAGCAGCAGCAGCAGCAAGCGCCACCGCTTCAGAAGCAGCAGCAGCAGCAGCAGCGGCAGGCGTCGCAGGCGCAGCTGCAACCACTGCCCCTGCAGTCGCAACAGCAACAGCAGCAACAGCAGCAGCAGCAACAGCAGCAGCAGCCGCAGCCGCCCGGGGTGGAGGAGGCGAAAGGTCGAGCCAAGAGGTCGAGACACTCCGCGGTGCTGCGGACCGTGCTGCAGAACGTGCGCCAGCCACGGTGCTGCACGCGCGCCAACTCCATCGCGGACTGAGCGCACCCAACCCCGGCGCCGCGCATCCATCACGGCCACCTCCACCACGGCCACCTCCACCACGGCCACGTCCACCACGGCCACCTCCACCACGGCCACCTCCACCACGGCCACCTCCACCATGGCCACCTACACCATGGCCACGTCCACCACGGCCACCTCCACCACCGCCACTTCCACCACGGCTACCTCCACCACCTCCACCACGGCCACCTCTACCACCGCCACCTCCATTGCCACCACTACCGCCTCCACCGCCACCACCGCCACCTCCACCACCGCCACCTCCACCACCTCTATTGCCACCACCTCCACCACCGCCACCTCCACCACCTCTATTGCCACCACCTCCACCACCGCCACCTCCACCACCGCCACCTCCACCACCACCGCCACCTCCACCACCTCTATTGCCACCACCTCCACCACCGCCACCTCCACCACCTCTATTCCCACCACCTCCACCACCGCCACCTCCACCACCTCTATTGCCACCACCTCCACCACCGCCACCTCCACCACCGCCACCTCCACCATGTCTATTGCCACCACCGCCACCACCGCCACTGTGCGACGATGCTGCGAGGGTGCTGGAGGACGTTTCGGATGGGCCGTGGTAGCATTGGCCATTCGAGGCCTCGTTCTGCTCTTGCGTGTACCTGTGTGTGACATCGGTACAGGTCATGCCGCCCATCAATCCCAACCCCCCCCCCCCACCTTCAAACCCCTTTGAACAAGATCATCCGCGCGAGGACCGAAACTCGGCGTTTTAGAAACCGTGACAATGCCACCGCTGGCGTGGATCTCCGAGGCTTGCATTGCCCGCACTACGATCACCGGAAACAAAAAGTGACCAGGACAAGATGAACCTAGCGACGAGATGGAGAGGAGGCGCTGGTAGAACATGGGGGCAAGACAAAGCATGCTAGCCAAACAAACGCTCGCCCACAAGCCTCTTGCCACCGAGCCGTGCACTAAGTTCTACGCCTCTCTCACTGACAACTCGCCGCTATCGCTTCAGCCCACCCGGTTACGAGCGCCAAATCCCCCACCTCTCCGAAAACCCTCGCCAACGCGCCGATCAGCCACGAGTTCTCGTCCTCGCGTTGACCCTGACCCTTACCGACCAGCCAAACCGGGACACCTGGTACCAGCCCTGCCGCTGTGAGTCCTGAAGAGACCTCCAGTGATTTGCCTGGGCACCCAATTCACGTCGTGTTTTCTGTCCAACTCGGGGGTTCACAGCCCTGCTCGTTTACCGAATGCTTTTGTCGGGATGACGAATCACGTTGGGGTATGGTGCGGCACTGGCCGGAACATTCGCGTGTTTAAGTTGAAATAAGCAAATACGTTCTGCTTAGAATTCAATGCGATGCGGTCGTCCATTTTCTGTCGTGGGTTTCACTCATCACTCACGCCAACCCTTGCTGTTGATGATTGGACCAGTGTCAGATCTGACTTCCATCAGCGCTCTCGCCTGATAATTCTGTGACATCAGCAGCATCTCTCCTACGCTGGGTCCGATACAATACAAGACGGAACCCCCACGTCTCTCGAATGCAACCACCTCGCCATCACTCGGCCCCTCTCTCGGAGCGATGGCAGCTTGTCAGGATGAGACTCGATGGAAGCCCTCAGACATCTTGAGAAAATCGCAGACGATGGGACTCATGAGAGGTTCCGTTTGGTAGGAGCCGACAGATCTAGAGTGGCAGGCGTGGCTCGTTGAGTTCGCGTGGATGTCGTGGGGGAGAGAGGACGCGCCATCCATCAATCCTAGAGACTGATCACACACTGCGCCAAGCGCAGTGTTTGGAAACACACAGACGCAGCAGCCCGTTGCTTGTACCGTGGCTGTGGTGCACGCGCACGCGCCCACTCGTGCGTCGCAGCCCCAAACGCAGCGATCTGTGCCGCCGAACGTTCTTCTGCGCGTGACGACTGATTCGCTCATCCGAGTCGATGCTGCGCTCACGATGCACGCATCGAGTTGTGTGTGCGTGTGCCGAGGAGCGACGTATTACCACGGATGCAAATGACGTAAAGGCCACCCGCTATTGATGGGCAGGAGGAGAGGCGAGCAGTGGTGGTCGCCGAGCCCGCACGCCAACCAAGCGCCCCACCCCGAGTCTTCAACCCGAGTGGTCAACCAGCCACCCACCCTGTACGAGCGCCCTACGCCGAACTTTTAACCGACTCGCCGGCCATTCCGCTGACCCCCTACAACCCTGCCCCAAGGGCCACACGTGCAGAGCTTTCGCCGCCCGGGTTGCCTTCTCTTGTTGTTGTTGTTCACTTCTCAATGTCGGTGTCCACGACTCGGTGTGTGCGTAGCGCTGATTTAAAATAACAATAATAATAATACACGCGTATAGATGCCACTGTTTGAAACAAACAAAAGTACGCAGGCAGCGAGACTCTGGTGTGTGTCTGCGGGGCGTGCTCACTGCGGAGTCGATGTTTGTTTGCGAGCTGACGCCTCCACGGTGTCCCACTCAGCCCAGCGACCGGTGGCTGCAGTCTTACAAACAGCCGCTGGGTTCTATTATTCATACCGGGGGGGGGGGGGGGGGGGTGTTCATTGTGTCTGCTGCCTCTCACATACACCACAACGCGACTCTAATAAGGTCAACTCTGTCCCTGTGCTCAAACGAGCACCGGCACTGTGGACAGCGGAGAGTAGTGCAGCAAAATGCAGTGTTGTACTGTAATTGTATGCTCCCCCCCCCCCTTTGCCTTTACCAACCCACACTGACACCGCAGAGTAATGAAGTATGGTCGAGTAATGCCCCCCCCCCACACCGCTCCAGGAGAACTGCACAGCGTTAGGTCATCATCCAGTAGTGGATTGATCAGTCCCAGCTGTATCCCGAGCCCTACCGCTGACGATTTCCCAGGCATCTGTGTCGCATGTTTGAGCGTTGACAGTGCCACAACAAATCTATCAGACTGAGACGCGTTCGAAGAGACGCGTAGCTCGGTCGAACGCAAGCGGACCCCAAAAGATGACCCTGATATAAGGCCCACTAAAAACAAGGGTATTTACAGCACTTATATTTGAGTGCTCGCTTGACCCTGAGAAATGAAGACCGGTTGGGGAGGCATTGATCTCGCAGTGGATTGATCATGGCTGGCGATGATACGGCAAACAGATGCCGAATGTCACTTCGGTGAAAGCTGCAGTGAAGGCAAATGCGAAAAATAAAAGTGGTGAATGCGAATATTTGCCAATAACAAGCCCCCTTAAAATGCGTGGCTCCTCTGCGCTATTGAAATCGCCCTCCAAACAACGAACACGATGCGTGATTGCGTTATTCAAAACAAGCGTGAGGACGTGCGTTTTGTACAAAGCGTGCACACACGGTGAACTTAGATAGTTCTTCACTCATGCCAGGGGGTTGGACACATTTGTCTTTATTTACGTCCAGCATTCTCGCATCTCCTGTATAAACAAATATCGATTCCCATTATTAATACACGGGCAGCTTGCGCGGCGAATGGCGATTCTTTACTCTTGAATAATAGCACATGGCACGAGAAACAGGGACCAATGTCCTACAGTGGACACACCTTGAGTCAACGACGGATCTGCCGAGACCCATTTTTGTTGTTATTCAAGAGAAACGGGTGCTGAGCTACAGAGTACGGTTCCGCACACACAGCTCGAATCTCGCACAAGAATTCTCAACGTCTTAAAGGGCCCCTCGCTCTCGCAGGAAAATTGCTATTGCAATTCTTTATTTTTATTTGCGGCGAGCGCAGTGAGAGAGGTGCTGTACACCAACAAAACCACGGATTGCCCATGTAGAATTAACGTGGTTGCTAAGTCTTCGATAATCTGCTGATGGGAACGGTCTGTCAGAGAGGAGAGAGAGATTGTGTGTCGTAGTATTTATTGAGGGAGCAATAGGTGTGCTCCGCCCACGCACGCTCGCACGTGCACACGTGGGACAACCATCACAAACATTTTGGCGACAGATGTGTTTTCTGCGGTAGCCACGTCGGCGAATTAAGACACGGTGGCACGTGTCGCATGCAAGCATTGAGTTCCGACATCCCTATAGTTCAGAGATGGGACATTCCATGCTGCTCAACAATGTGATGATACCTCGCTCATGTTGTGCCCTTCATTTACTCAGTCACTGAGTTTCGAGACTTTCAAGAGGTGCCTGCATTGGGACATTGGGCCAAATCTGTGAATAAATGTTTGGCTTCGCGTGGCAGGAAACAAAAAACACGGAGCTCCCAGCTCTGCACGGTTTTGTTCAAGAACCCATTGCTGTCCTGCCAATTCCTGGCCACCTCGCAATGCAAGCCTACAACGCACGGTGATCTAATCCAAGTACTGTCCGTGCTCAAAACCTGTTTAGCTTCGCTGGTCTGACGAAACGGGGGCGTGCATTCAGGAGGACGTGGTCACACGCACGCGTGTTTAGCTTTGTGTTTCTTTATGTCGATCACTATAACGCACCTTGTGCAAAGCGCTGTGGAGATGTAGCAACAGACGGTACGAAGACTTGTTAAAGTGAATCGGACGGACACTTTAACAAATATGACGAGCGTTGGATTTCAACTCCGGATCCACATCCAAAACACTACTGGCATAAACTACCAATTGCATATAAGTGGTTGGTCTTGTTTTGGACGATTCAAATATTTAAGTCAAATAGTCTCCACGTTGGCCGGTGATCATCTCCATCGAGCGGTGCCGAGTCAGCGGCAGAAGGAAATTCCACATTCCTACGACCGGCGACTGTCCCTGCATAGAGACAACCGTTGAAACGTCCGATAAAGTTGTACTTGCTTCATCGTCCCTGGAGGGATGATGTGGCCGAGTCGACCCCCTAAAGGTATTTAAAACAGAACTGGCGAGTTTTGTCCGGCCGGATAGAGAGGGTTTCACTTCTTTAGTTTTAGCACCTTGTGTGTGTGTTTTTTTCTATGATGAAGAATTATTACAAACTTCATCTGCGACACATACGGGCAGATTTGTTGAGAAG